GGAAAATGTAAAGTACTGAAGCATAATCTCTTTGTAGAAAGCACAGTGTAATAAGTGTGTGTGCAGGTGTCTAGGATAACTTTACACCCTGGGACCATCTCAGAAGTTGGTGGCAGTGGCTGCATCCTGCAGAGAAGCACTTTTTGTAAAGCTTAGGCCATAGCAAAGATAAGTTTCGTGCTCTCTTGGCACAACTGTTATGAGCTTCCCTGAGAATTCCTTAGTTTGGATTGTTCTTTTCTTCAGAAGTGCCAGTAGTGCAGTTCTTCCTGGCACTGTTGTTTAAAGGCTGTTTACAGCTGAACTGGAATTTAACATAAAGTTACCTAGTTACCCTTTTTTATTTCACGTTTATACTAAGAATTCCAAGAAATAATTCCTTCCACTGAGATAAAGGGAAAACTGTTCAACATTTATTTGATGTTTTTGCTGAGAAACAGAGTGAAGACCTTGCATAGTTTTGACCTTTTGTAAATCCTGTGCAATAAAGGGTAGGTTTTATTAATAAAAGTCACAAAAACCTTTCCCTGGGTCTCTATTCAAATTTGGGAATTCACAAAGAAATGAGGCATCAAATAAAAAACAGGTTTGTGCTGCACTGATGAATAAAACATCACAGAATCTGTTTGCTGGAAGTATTTGGTGAGGAAATGCTACGTTGGTATTACTTATTTTTATAAAAACAAACATTTTCAAGCAGAATACAAAGCCTAGACTTCCCAGTGGGGTAGAGTTCTCTGATGATTCCCCAAACCTGTCTGGTTGTTTTATATCTCTTAAGGTAAGACAACTCAAATGCATTCATTTTGATTAAACCTAAGTGTTTATAGATAAATACTTATTTCATGGAAAATAAAAGTATTGCTTGAACTGATGGAAGTATTTTTTTAATTATCCCTTTCATGTCTAAAGATGGTCTTGCAGGGAAATATCACTGCTGGACTAAAGGTTGTTGTATTGTTCTATTTACCAAATTGTTCCAGGGACATTAGTTCTGTTTTGGTCTTTATTTTTTTTAATCCTAAGGAATGCCATCTCTTGTCAGTTTTGTATAATAAAATTTAACTATACCTGTCTTATGCTTTATTGTCAAGCAAAATTGTGAGTTATTTTTAACAGGGTAGGACAAATTGGATGTTACCTGTGCCATGGGAATGAGTCTGAAAGGCAGGAACGAGTCTGCTGCTTGAAGTAGAGATCAAAATATTATCACTGTCCTGACACAACTATCCTGCAACAAAATTCTCTCTTCTAAGAGTAAGGAGTTAAAAAATACTGATATTTTAAACTGCATCTGGAAGAGCAGTGATTATCTGGAAAGATGAATCCAGTGAGAAAAAAGGGGAGACAAAGCAGAAGGAATTTCTTTTGCAAATATGAACAAAGGTCTTTTTCCCTGGTGACTTTCTTGCATTGACATTTACATCCATGTTTCCATTCTCTTGGCTGTTCAAACCCAGCAGGAGGCACTGGCATGGGTCAGTCCCTGACCAGCACCAGGACTTAGCACTGGAAGGGAACCACATTGGGCATTTGAACTGACATGTTAGTGGGGTTGTTGGGTTGGAGAGCACTGATGAGTGACCCTGATGGTTTGACAAGTGTCTGAATTTCTCTTCAGTCAAACATAGAAGTTAATTTAAAACCTTGATTGGAGAAATGCAGTAATAATATTTTATTTTTTTTTTAAAAAAAGAGATTAAGATTGTGATTCCTTGACCAGCTGAGTTAACCTAACAGCTCCCTGCTGCTCAAAGATCTCACTCCGCCAGCTCCCCACTGCACACTCGTGTCCCTCTCCTTGTTAGGGCACTTACTAGACATGATTAAAAACAAAACAAAAATATGGGGCTGGATTTCCCCCCCCTTCTCCAATTAGTCTGTTGCAAAGTGAGTTATTTAAATCATCTCAAAGCATTCAGGTGATGGGAGTGGGGCTTCCCCAGCTCAGAAAAAAAAGCAGCTGTTCAATAAGCTGACCAGGTTTCACAGAACTAGCTTTGATACATCAGCTCTCTCTGTGTAGCAGCTTCTTGACTTTGGCAGTTGGGTTTCTGTGACAAAAATGCATTTGCTACCTGCTAGCCCTGGTGGTTTCAAAGCCTGGGAGGATGGGAGCTGGTTAAATCAGCAAAATTGCTTCAGGAGGCAGTGGCTGCATTGTCACTCTTGGCAATGACATAAGGGCAGGAAACAATTTCCACCTGCCATCTGTAGATCCAAAGCAGCATTTGTGGCAGAGGCATCTGGAAGGGCCTGGAAATTCTCAAAAGTTACTGAAAGAGTAAGAAACCAGCTCAATGGCATTACCTTGGTGGATCAGCATAGTGATGATATTCAGAAACCAGGAAAGCAGCAGAACTGCAGGACTAAACCAGGCAAGCTCAAACTCTGCCTGCTGACTGTCCCTGCTGTTGGGTAACTGAGCAAACAAATCTGGGGTTAATGAGTTGGAGCAACGTGCACACACATCCCAGACCTGTCAGGGGGAGCTGCTTCCTTGGGCAGCAAAGTCACACTGGAAATGTTCTTTTCATGTGGCACTGGAACAGCTAAAAAAGCTCCTAAGCCTGGAGTGGTTCATGCTTTTGTGGGTTTTTTTTTCCTCAGTCAGTATTAGAAGTATGTGACTACATCAAAGTCGTATTAAAAGTGATTGGAATTTTATAAGTATGTGTGTGGAACTAATTTATTTGTTTCACTGAGTTCTGAAATGAAGCCTTTACTTTGATTAGGGACCTACCTCCAAATCATATTTTTAGTTGAACTGTTTTATCTCGTTGGATTCTGGTCTGTTCCTGAGATGCACAATATGGGGGGAAAGTACTTTTTTCACTTTAAAAAGTCATTTTTACTTTGACTGTAACACTTTACAGGATAAATGAAGCAAGGCTGATCTTAGTTGGTACATCAGTGAACTAGTCTCCTATTATCTTTGTGAATCAAACTCCATATTCTAAAGTAATAGAACTTGCTTAATTTACTTTAACAAATTCCTAATGTGCCCAGAGAGAATTAAAAAGGGTAAAATAGAAAACATGTGTGGTGTTGATCCAAGAAACTGCAAAATCCCTGAGGTCCATGTGCATTAATGTTGAGTAAAACCAGTCTCAGGAAAGCTGGTCAGCCCTGCAGACAGTACTGAGCTGACAAACACATCCCTCTCCTGCCCACCCGTTAGGGTACTCTGGAATTTGCTACAGCTGAGTTACATTGTTTACATAGGTTATGGGTTTTGTTTGGGTTTTTTTCCTCATCACACATTTTAAAGGACTTCTCTTGGTTGGCCCTTGAAATTTCCTTTCAGACAGATGCTATCATCTCTGCCATGGTGTTGCAAACCACTGGAAATAACAACAGCTGTTTTGTAAGGAGCAAGGGAGAGAGAAAGCAAGTCCAGAGCAGCAAGAATTCAGCCCCTTGACAGAGCAGAGAGTGTCCCACTGGCTGCAGAGTCAGGCTATTACTGGCTGTAACTGGTGCTGCAGGGACTGGGTACCAGCCTGGATCACTGGCAGTGCAGGGTCAGTGCAGGGAGCTGCACAGGTCAGGCATCTCCACAGCAGAGGGAGGGCTGCTCCCTTTGAGGAAGCAGTAGCAGTGAAACCCATGAAGCTGCTCGATGTGTGGGAGAACTACACCTCCCTGGTTGCCTGTTACTCAGGGATCATTGGCACACTTCTTTCACCTAGCAAGCCTGAGCACCTTTGGCACTGCAAACAAACCCTCTCACCTGACAGTGCTGGTTTCCTTCCAGCTGCTGGAGGGAAAACCTTGGCAGGTGTTGCTGTGGGAAGGGAAGGTGTGGGCAGGGATGTTTCCCTGCAGGCTGGGCCGGGTGTTGCTGGCAGCAGGTCCCTGCTGGAGCCCCCCTGCAGCTGTGGGCACAGGGCACCTGGTGCTGCTGCTTCTTACCAACACAAAGGCCTGACCTCAATTCCTTCCCCATCTGTTGTGCTGATACCCTGGGGAAGGGTCCCACTGCCTCCTCCCAGGTCACACTGGGGAGGGGGGACACTGATGTTTGCACCTTAGGGTTGTTGAACATCACAGCACCCTTTAAACCTGGGCTGATCCATAGAGGTTGGGGAAACTGGAGGAATTTTCAGCTGGATCAATGTACTCAGCATTGATCAAGATCCTGTCTTTCCCAAGCCAGATGTGTTTCAGGATCATGACTCCACACACACAGGTTCATCTTCCAGGAGCACAGGGCTCTCTCCATCTCTCCTGGATTCCAACTGCTTTGCTACTGAATGTATTTCATGCTATTTTTACCTGAAAAATTAAAGAGATGTCAGTAGAGAATTAGGACATTCCTTCCTCTTATTTTCTTACTCGGTGGGACTTGCTTTTATTTAACCTGTAAAGGAATATATCTGTATCTTTGGAAAACTATATCTTATATATAGAATACTATATAAGAAGCTGAATCACAAGGGGGATGAATTACATCTAAAGGATTTTGGTGTCGTAAACTTCCATGTGTGATTTGATACCAATTTGAATCCTGGGCTGTACTAATTTCCTTTCAGTTTCTCTTATTTTCCTATTTTATATAATACGTGGATGGTCCTACCCATGGAAACAAGAGCAGATGTTCTCAGATTTTTCCTCCAGATCCCAGTTCCCTCCTCCCAGTAACCCCTGAGCTTCCACTGGTACTGACAGCACCTTCAAAAGCTGTGCTTTGGGAAGCGTTGCTTTCTCATAGCAGAAGATGCTCTGGCTTCCCTGAACTGGACCAAGAGCTTTGGGAAGTGTTGCTTTCTCATGGCAGAAGATGCTCTGGCTTCCCTGAACTGGACAAGATGTGTCCAGGAAAGGGTTTGATGAGCATGATCCCTCAGAGTCTGCCATTCCAGGGGGATTCACTTCAGCAGATGGAAAACAGAGCAGCTCCAAAGCTCCATTTACATGGAAGTTTTCCATGTTTGGAGTTGTCATCCGGGTGTGTCCCAAGTGTGCAAATCCTTAAAGAGTCAGCAAAAACGGGCACCATGGCAATTTCCCTGAGAACAGCTCAGTACTGCCAGCTCTTGTGCAACAGATCCACGTATTATTTAAAGTGTCATATGGAAAATGTGAGTGTGATGCCTGTTATTAAAAAGTGCAATTCAATGTACACGGTCACAACGAATGTTTACTTTTCTAACTGTTACCGACCCGTTTGGATCAGTACCTTGTTACCATTGTGTGAACGGTAAAATATTGTAAAAATAAACGGAAATGCAAACAGAGCTGGGGATGAGGTGCTTGTTTCCCTGGCTGGAGCAGCAGCCGGGGCCTGCAGGGACCTGGCAGGGCTGCTGATGCAGGTCCCTCCCGCTGGGTCGTGTCCAGCAGCACCAGGACACTCTGCTGCCCAACCTGTGAGTGCTGCACAGCTAATTACAGCCCCTAATTGCCCCTAATTACAGGGGCGACCTGCTTTGCAGGGGCAAGGCGGGCACCGCTGGTGCTGGGGAACCCCCCCCCCCCTCCGCCCCACAGCCCGGGCTGAGGCTC